AATGCCACTTGTCACTGATCTCCACTTGGGCATTGAGACGATGACTCTCTGAGTGCAACCATCCAGCCAGCTCCTCCTGCACGCACCAAGCAGGACGCTGGCAACTGCACAGCTCCTTCAGGGTCTGAGTCCTACAGCCTGCTGCCTGGGTGGAGACGTCACTTGGTGAAGAAAAGTGCAGAGGAATCCAGCACTAACAGTGACGTGAGATTATAAGTGTCTACTGGTATTTAATGACCCAGATACCACAGGCTGGTAATTAGCAAGGGATCTTCCCTACAGGCTACAAAACTAGGTCAAATCAAACAGCAGCCTAGTTTTGAATAAAGACATGTGCTCTAGACAGCTTGCTCTGCTTGAGCAAACTGTTAATAGGGGAGATTTAGGTTGTATATTAGGTGGAAATTTTTCATTCAGAGGGTGATGAGGCAGTGGCCCAGGCTGCCCAGAGAAGCTGTGGATGCCCCATCCCTGGAGGGGTTCAAGGCCAGGCTGGATGGGGCCCTGGGCAGGCTGCTCTAGGGGCTGGCAACCCTGCCCACAGCAGGGGGGTTGGAACTAGATGATCTTTAAGGTCCTTTTCAACCCAGGCCATTCTAGGATTCTGTGATTCTATGTGACTAACTCCCCACACATCCTACACCGAGAGTCGCTGCACCAGTCCGTCCCCAGGCTCTGCAGTAGCAAATGCCTGTACCCCAGTGGTTTGAACAGAACTTCATGTGCGATCAACTTCTTTTCTGAAGGATTTCATTCCCACCGGAGTGACTGTTTTTTCTTTAAATTTACACAAAGCCTGTTAGTTCAGGCTGTCTGTTAGTTCAGTTCTCAAAAGCACAACACAGTAACCAAAACCGTGCTTACATTGAGCTGCAAATCACACTGAGAAATAAAAGGCAGAAGGCAGCTCTTGGCAGGTTTGCGATAGGATCCATGTCAAGCCAAGAACTGCTTTGAGTTGAAGTTCAACTGTTTTTTTTGCTCTCATGATGAAGGCGTGGCTGGTGGGAGTGTTGCAGCTCTGTAGCTATTCCAAGAGCCCACCACCCCTTAAGCCTCACAAGGGCTGCAGTGCAGCTTGGCTCCCAAGAGGTTGTGTGACACCCTAAGGCAGTACCAGAAAGGTCTGTACACTTTCCAGACATGCAAATCATCTTGTCTGACCAAACATCAAAGCACAACTCCCTTCCAAAATATGTTTCTTACTGTACTTGCCTTCACACAGCTTAACCTTCTCCTCTATAAACAGCAAGCCTTTTGCAAGGAGCTGGTTCTGCCAAGAGAGAAGAGAGACATGCATTTGCCTTTTCTGAGATTTAAACTAAACATGGAAGAATACTTTTTTTTTTCAGATGTTATCCCCTTTGCATGCAGTTATCTAAGATTAGTCATACTATCATACTTTCTCCCAGCACCGCCACCAGCCCTGCTCTCACTGTGAGTGAGAGTGCATTCATTACCACCCTCTCGTTCAGCCAGACAGAGCACAGCAGACACAGCAGATAGTTGAAACACTTGCCAGAAGTGGTAAGGAAGGACCTGTCCTGGGTCACAGAGAGGGAGTCAATAAAATGGATCTTAACATCAGAGTGCAGCCACATAAGCTACACCTCAGCCATGTGATGGAGGTGATCAAAGGGCCAAATGCTACTAAAACGTCCTACCCTCTTCTTCCTTTGCACTAGCTCGGTGCTTGCCTGGCTGCACAGTAAGCTAGTTCATCTCCCTAACCCCTTTCTTCTCTATTCCTACCTATTCTCTTCTGATGAGCTTATTTTTTTAGCTATACTGAGCAGCTGGATTACCTCAGTACGCAGTCTCAAGCTGCAGAAGAAGCGGCAGGAGCTAGTCTTTCTAGATAAAAACTATCACAGACCAGACAGATCAAGATATCAACGTGCCTGTTTGCAGTTCAAGACATCAAAATATCTGATAAGCTTTCTGTTCCCATTTCCCCAAACATAAAAAAGGCATAAAAACAACACCTACCTTTTTGTAGCACTAGGATAAGCAGTTATTCTGAAAAAGCTTTGAGAACCCCAGAGAAAGGAGAGGCTGTCACCACATAACACGCTATTACTGCATCCTAAAAGGTTCAGTCCTACCACAGAGATCATATCAATAGAGAACAAAGCCTTCTGTCCCTCTGCAAGGATTCGATATCAGAGCAGCACACAATATTCAGACACACACACCCCCCCACCTCCCCGTTGCATCCTCCCTGCACCAAGAAGCAATACTAAACCGGGGTACTGTTGAAGGGAATAAACTGAAGGAAACATTGCTCTGTGACATTCTCTGCTTGTACTTGTACTTCACTTTCTAGAACAAAAGAAAAACTTGCCGCTCAAGAGTCCTGCTTGTTAGCATCATACATAACTGAACCACCTTTGGGGCTGGGTGCCACGGCAATACCAGGGAGGACTTTTTCCACTGGCATCTTTGTCAAGATTTTGGCAAAAAGGGCCTGGAAGAAAGAACAAGCCATAGAAGTTCACCAGTCACCTCACGTTCTATGGGTAGTACGGGGAACTTTCAGGAGAAGTGTCATCAAGTCAAGACAAGACTGTATGACATTGTCTTCCTCATGGTGTGAAAGAAGTGTGGTGTTACACAACAGAGAGGAAACGGGTACCTTTCCTTGGCTGTTGTCCCATCTCTTGGCTACTTTCTCCACATTAAAACATGAACTCATGTTTTGCTGCAGTGGCTTACTCATCTTAAACGAGCCAGATGTAAGTACTTTTGAGACACTGCTTTAAAAAAGAAAAAAACACCAACTGCACCACCTAATGTGTATCCAGAGTTCAGCCGTGGCATAAGGAGGAATGGCCATCCAGTTCACCAGTGGTACCCTCTGTTAGTAGCAATAACAGTTAATTATTGTACCGTGCATACAAGAGAAAAATAAGTAAAGGTCATGCTTGTGATTAAGGTAATTTGCCCCTGCTAGCAGGTGGGTTTTTTTCAGAATTCAAACCCAAAAATATTTAGTATGGTCTTATTCCAAAAATAATGTAGAATTTTGGTTCCTTGTAAATTAGTTACACAACGAAACCAGAGTATTTTAGGAGCAACACATGGGATGAAACTGTATTATTGGAACCGCCCATCCAAGTCACAAGACTTTGACCTTTACTGTCTCCAGCAGAGTGCAAAAGCAATCCTATCCATGCAGTAAAGTCAAGCCAGAAACAAATTTCAATACCCTACAATTAACCAATCCTAGGAACTCCAGCCCAGGAAGCAGAGCTGGCTTCAAGAGTCCCGTTTGTCAGAGGAACATGCTAAAATTGCTATTCTGCACGCAGGCGACCACGTGGAGACAGGAACCCAAAGCATTTTGGTATGAAACCTTCTGAACCCGCTCACAAACAGTACAAATGACTCCCATTAACTGCAGCTGACAGGCTGGGGAGGCCAACAGGTAAAAACCAGAGCTCTCCGGCAACACTGCAGACAGCAAAGCAGCTTGTCAGTAAGAAATTTCTCCTGCTGAGGGGCTCCCTCCTCAGTTAGCGTGAGTGTCAGGGTTGAGAGAAAGAGCAAAGCAGCATTCCCAGCAGAGCGCAGGAGGAACAGGGCTGCCAAAGGACGGGTGAGCTGCAAAGAAAACGTGCCTGGGAGACACTTTTCACCCAGACAACAGCAACAGCAATGAGCAAGTTGGATAAATATCTTTAGACAATGAAAACAGATTGTAACATTTCCAAACATTATCAGCTAATGGGAGGTGACTGTTTTGCAAAGGTTCTCTAGTAGAAATATAGACTTGGGAAGGAAATACTAAGTTGTTGGCATCTCCATTCAAACTTTAGATTTGTTCAGCAGCAATAAACATCCACACATCAGGCTCTGAACGACAACAACAAAAATAATTCCCAGGATAAAATCAAACAATGTGAAAAAGGAGGGAGGAAGAAATCTGGAATGGAAAAAATCATGAGGGGAAAAAAACTGAAACCCACTTATGCTGTAAATATTTTTCTGCCTGAACAATAAGATAATGTTTGGGCTGATATTGTTTTATCAATAAACTGAAAGCATTTTGAAGGATTAAGTACTTCAATTCTTTATTTTTCAACCTATAGCTCAAGGTAATACCCCTCATATATTGCAGGGAAAATTTACAGCTGGTCTTTAATACTGTGTCGTTTTAAACTACCATATAATTAAAAAGTATATACACATATATATATACACGAGGTGTCATGCTTATTTTCTTTTGTTTCACTCCAGAAATATTAATTCCTTCTCTATCTGCACTAAAACATTAGGTTGCAATTAGGTTTCACTTCCTGAGCACTGTGGATACAATTTTCTAGCTACTTTGCTTATAAGTTAGCATAGCTTTCTACTTTCAGGGATTTTTTTTTTTTGTTTTACAGCTATAAAAGCAAACAAAATACACATCTGTACACCTTATGGGCAGCACAGTTCCATCTATTAAAAATAGCTGTATTAATCATTATCTTGTATTAAAGAATTTAGAATGCTTTTATGAATGTATTACCAGTAATTCCATGTGCTAAATAGATTGCATCATCTCATTCTTAAGGTTTCAAAAAATACCAAAGCTTAGCTCCACAGAGTTACTGCAGGTATTTCAGTTATCCTCGCAAATTTTCCCCTCTCCTGTGGATGAGAGAGACTTAAAAAAAAAAAAAAAAAAAAAAAAAGACAACCACACTTCATTTCCCTTCTCCCCATGTTAAAAATACCTGCAAATTTTACTTATCTGACTTTTCTGCTAAAGTCACAGGTTTAGAAATGGATTCAATCTGAACATTACCTCTTCAGATGAAGCCAGTAATTTATTATTTTTTTTTAAAAAGCCTACCGGGTTTGCTGACAAATCAAGACAATCTAATAAACACAGCTGCAGGGAGGTCTGTAGCAGAACTTGTTGAGACTCCAAGTGTCATTTTACCACTTTATCCCTGGTTGCCAGAGGCAACACAGAGGCACAGAGCTAAGAGGCAAGGTAAATCCTTCATTTGCAAGCAAGACCACGTAAAGATTCACACCAAGTAAGCTTGAAGGGCGCATTTATTTGAAAAAGTTTCCCAGCCACCTTCCATCTCTTTGCAGTGACAGCTGAACTGGGTGCTTGGCGAGTCAGTTATTCCCTCTCCTCCCCTCCCAGATCAGCTTTCCCTGGGTGCCCAGAGCGACATCCTCGCCCTGCCGTTGGGACACCCCCAGCTGCTGCAGCCTCATGGGGAGCTGCAAACCTGCCCTTTCTCTCGCTACGGTGAAGCACGCACTCCAGAGAAACAAACCTGCGAGTTAACCACCCCACACGTACATGCAGTAGAGAAATTTGGAGAGAAGTTTTGCAGAAGATAGAAGGGAGCTTGTGAAATTTCGCAGGTTGAAGCTCCTCTACTTTTCTCAGTGCAGAAAACCACAACAGCTGTTTCAGGTATACCATGAAGAAGTGCAGCTAAGAGAAAGCCTTTACGTAAGTTTCCCAACGCCTTGAGTTTTGGAAGATAGGATTCAAAGCTCCAGAAAAGTCACCTTTCATTTTTTCCCTCAGCAAAGACCCTCCCACAATGCAGGTGTCCTCACTCCTCTTGCAAAGTAAGGTACACTGAAATAATTGGGAATAAAAAAAAAAAAAAATCCAAAGGCAGTGACATGGCATGTTGCAAAATGTAGACACTTTCCAGGAAATTCCTTCTTTTTCCCAGCACAGATATTTTCCCCTTCACCTCTCCTTTTAGAGCAATTGAGGCAAGTTTCCCCAGCCATACCCAGAGGAGCAATCCCAGTTCCCCCAGCACAGTGACTGGAGGTGGAAGCTGTCCCAGGCACAACAGTTGGGGCTTCTCTCTCAAACCAGCAGTGACGGGCACCTTCTCCCTCCCTCCGCCTTGTCATGAGCTGGTCGTCCCCAACAGGGGCCACGGAGGCCCTTCCTGGGTGGGCACAATGGCACCCATCAGACTCTGCCAGAGGCAAAGCAGACGTTGCCTGTTGGGAGCGCTCTGCCAGCAGTCTGGTTGTGGTGCCGGCCTCAGGGGTGATTTTTGGGGCAATAGCCCTGCCACCAGCATGGCTTGCTCTGCTGCAGACTGTGCATTCGAGCAGTCGGGTGGCAAAAAGTAGAGAAGTAATTTTGGCAGCAGCTCCACAGAAAACATCAAGGAGGCTCAAGCCATCACAGGCAACTTCACATCTCAGCTGAAAGCCATGTCTCTGCAGTGTAGCAAGGCACAAAGGATCCTCCTGATAATAAAAAATATGACTATTTCCCAAAAAGCCACT